CTTTAAAATTTGTTGTGAAAAGAAAAAATTTGTAGCTTTCGTTTTTCCGATTTCCGATTTGAACTCGCAGCTAACGATAGTTGAGTCGGAGGTCTTCTCGCTGAGCTAATTTCGTATTGTACGAGTAGTGAGTATTTGCAAATTTATACCGCAAGTTTCAACTGTCCCGCTCTGCATTCCTTTTGAACTAGTTCAGAGATAGTTCTGAGATATGTAGTTCGGAACTAGCGCTTTGCCAGACTGTCTCTAAATTTTACTGCAGGGCTCTTATGCATTCATAAGGTATAGGCTTTCGATGCTTTCTCCTGGTACGAAAAAACGCATGCTTGTTTCGTTGGTGCGTGGTAAACATTGATCCCTTATGGATTGACAGGCAGCTAAAATTTAAAAGATTGCATCTTTTTCCTAAATTATTATAATAAGTAATTAAAATTGTTTGTAAACCATCCAACGTGTGTCAAGTAATTGCTTTGGGCATTTGGACGATCAATAGCTATCACACCATGTTGTCATGTGTCAATTCTGTCGACAATGGTGCATGGTGTCAAGTTAGCACTACATACCATTTTTTCTTAAAAAACGAGAGCTACAAATTTTTTCTTTCCACAACAAATTTACAACAAAAAAGCTACAATTAATGCCGTTGTAACCTTTTCAATATCTCAATTCTGTCGTCAATGGGGCATGGTGTCAAGTTAGCACTACATACCAAATTTTGTTCGAAAAAGGTTCAACTCAATTTTTTCCAGAAAAACGAAAGCTACAAATTTTTTCTTTTCACAACAAATTTTAAAGTTAAAAGCTACAATTAATGGCATAGTAACATATTGGATATCTCAATTCTATCGACTAGGTGTATGGTGTCAAGTTAGCACTACATACCATTTTTTCTTAAAAAACGAGAGCTACAGATTTTTTCTTTCCACAACAAATTTACAACAAAAACACTACAATTAATGCCGTAGTTAACTTTTCCAAATTCGAAAAGTGTAGTGCTAACTTGACACACGTCACCAATGTTCTAAGAAGTTGGTATTGGAGAGCGAGATTTTGGGAAGGTGACATGATGGCACTTAATTATATTTAATGACATACCGTAAGATCCATGTACAATTTTTCGGTTCTTCAAAAACTGCTTAATTTACCGAACTTTTGTTAGACACCCCATAGATCCATATTAAAGTGTTTCACTTGTTTCTAATAATGAAATATGTGAAAGTGCACATTTGCCGATGAAGACGCAGACCATACCCAAATGTGCCGTGTACCGAAAATGAATACACCCATCTTGTGAAAGGAGCGTGATAGCCGGAAAGAGGGGCAAAAACAACGCAACGACTAAAAATCATGCATACATATTGCACTTACGTATGTATATGTACATATACATACATACATACATGCATACAATAGTAGAGAAGTAGGAGTAGGTGTTTGCAATTGTGACCAGCTGGAACGCTGGCGTAGCTGTACTGCATTGTAATTAAAAGCAAGCTCCATTGCCACCCCGTCAAAGTAATGATTGTTGCTTCTGCTATTATACGCATTGTCGAATAGGGCGAAAATGGAAATTTTTACATTCATACATATCTATGTGTGTAGTTTTTTTATTTGTTTGAATTAGAAGCGATATAAAATTATTTATTAAATGAGTTTGTCCAAACATTATAGTGACTGCTTGCCGGGTTTACTGAGGACCGGTATGAGGATCAGAGTGACTTGTGGGGGCTTGCAGCGAACGGTAGCAATATGTAAAAACAGAGTGCTGGTAGGTACACTGTGTGCAATTTTTACGCGTCGCAGAAATCAATACGGTTGCGTGTGCCTGGCTCACAGTGGTTTATATGTACATACATACATATGCCTGTCATAGTTGCCAACTTAGTGCTTTAAGCACTAGATTTAGTGCTTTTTGAAAAATAAACGCCAAAAAAATGGTTTATTGGTTTCTGAACTAAAATTTCTGAATTTACAAGAATCTAAAAATTTAAATGTACTAAAATGCAAACCATGATTGATAAAAAGTTGAAGTTGCAAACCCACGTTCTTGCGTTCTTGTTAAACTGTATGCGCGTTTTTGTAGATTCTTCGGTGCTGAATACCAATCTAGCTGCAGAATTTCTATACCATCTCAGAATTTTGAGATATCCTACTCTCTAAGTGTACAAACACGGTTTTTCGCAGTATTTGAGGTTATATTATAAAACAGCAAATTTTTTCGCTCATTTCTACTTAGGGTATCATTAAGTATTACTCTTCCCCTTTAAAATTCAATTTCGTTTGTTGCGATTCGATTGTTCTTTCTCCAGATGTACCAGTTTTAATATGCAGTTGTTCGGTATTACTTTGCAAGCATGAATGTGTATTTATTTATACATGTAAATATTGTATACTTTTTTACTTTTGTTTACCACAAACTGTTATGAAAAAGAGTATCCTTTGATTTAAAAAAAAAATTCGTGCTATTAGTGCGGTAAAACGCTCTTTTTTCCAAGATTTGGTGCTTTTTGAAACTGAAAAGTTGGCAACACTGATGCCTGTGCCTGNAAAAAAAAATTCGTGCTATTAGTGCGGTAAAACGCTCTTTTTTCCAAGATGTGGTGCTTTTTGAAACTGAAAAGTTGGCAACACTGATGCCTGTGCCTGCCATCGTATTTTGCATAAAATAACCTTTTGACCAACGCAAACATGTAAAATAAGTAATAAAAGCACGTAAAGAAAAATATACTTACATCCCAAATATTTTTTGTTCAGTGCTCCCAGGAGTATCCAGACAGATGCCCAAGATCGAAAGCTGTCTGTTTCGGTCGTTTATATGCTGCTGCCTTCTTAATATTTTGTCCACTATTTTATAACTTGTATTTGCATTGTTTGTTTTTTTTTTTACATTTATTCAAGGTTCACCAGACGGCACTGTTTTAATGTTGCGATAGCGACGGAAGTACCAGCCTCCAATATATTATGTATACACTCCCCAAAGTAGCTAAGCGTATATACACAAATTTATTAAAATGTAGGCACTTGAATATTAAAGTGCATTTGCTAAAACTCTGCTTTGTCTTTATAAAAGCGCTTTTGTGCCTGTTTCTACTTTACATAACTTGGTAGCACGCTTTCACAGAGTTTAACAATTTATGGTAATGCAAATTCGTGCCAAATCTACATTTTTAACAAACAAAAAAAAAAAATCCGTCGTATAATATACCTACGAAAATTTCCTGGAATTTCTCATTTTTTAATTAGCTGGACTGCGCTATTTTCACTTATAATTGAATAGGCAAAGTACTGCATGCAATTTTCTACCATTTCCCTCATAATTTCTCTTGCTTGCACACTTATTTTCAATATTTCTATTTACGGTCAAGTATTTATTCCGATTTTTTTGTTCTCTACTACTTCTACTCAAATGAATGTCATCTGTTTGGCAGACAGAACTGCTCTGCCCTGTACCACTCTGCCCCTGCATAGGGATGCAAACGATGCATCGATATTTTTGAAACATCGATAATATCGGTTCAAAATTCGATGTTTGCCATCGATGTTTACAATTTCCTAAAATCGCTAAATTGACGATACACCGATGCCAGTTTCAACGATGTTTTAATATCGATTTAATTGTGACTCAGACTTGAATTCAACTTACCCATTATGCTCCTAAAATTTTTTGACTGGCAATGAATTTTATTACTTATTCTTTTTGGGGAACATTCAGAAATTCGGAGTTTCCTCGTATCTTTCGATATTAAAAATGCTTACTTAATCATTAAAAACGACCGGGTTCCCGTTGAAATTTCAACGAAATTGGGCCTTGGAACTTTAGGCTCAGCGAACCTACTACGGCATGCTTTTTTATTCTATTTATAGGAAGGGTAGAAGAATGGTAAATAAATATGGGGAAATGCATCCATATGAAAGTTTTTTTCTAATTGAATTACAGAGAGTTGGAGTCGAAAGCTTTTAAATTTTCCTTTTCATTTGACTGGATTCTAACAAATTGTGAAACATCGGAAACCATCGATATATCGATGTTTTTCTGGCGATGTATTTTAGCATCGATGTTCATTTCTCCGATGCATCGAAAGATCGATGTATCGATGTTACACCCCAAAATTTGCATCCCTACCCCTGCAATGCAACACCACGACGTCAGTATAAATAAAAACAATTAACTACGCAGCGTTGCCACCTTAACATGTAAAACAAAACAAATCATTTCTTTTATAGCAGATAAACAACCATACTAAAATATACAGCCATCAGGTTATCTTCTTCTCGCTTACACTCATGTGGTTGCTTATATATGCATTTTTTTAACTTGCTTCTAATCAAATAGCCCACAAGCGCCGCGTTTATTATCATGTCGCATTAGGTGGCAGCGCTGTCTGCGATAAAATAAATATACAACCGCAGTCGGCGTCAACGGTGCTGATCTCTGCTACATAGGCCAAGGAACGCAACCTTTTCCACACTGCTACTGCAGCATACAAAACTTACTGGGGGTTGTACATATATATCTATATTACTGTATAGACTCGTATGTCCACCCCTGTGCTTGTTTATCTATGGTGGCGGCGACGTAACGTTCCGTTAGCATAAAAAAAACGCGTAAGCTAAAAGTCGCCGTATTTCTGTTCACTCAACACTGAAATGTAGGCGGTGCAACGCACTCACGTAAAACTCAAATGCATTTGCTGCTTTATAGATCAGAGTGAGTTGGGGCATTAATGCATCGTCCCGCTCGCACTTATGGTACATAGAAAAGTGCTCACTCGCCACTGCTTCTGCATACACGTTTACTTTGCTGTTGCCATACTTTGTTCTTTTTTACTGGTTTTTTTTTTGTTGGTCTGCCTTTTGGGAAATAAAACAAATTGAATTACAAAATTTGCTGGAACCACTACTTTTTCTTTTGATCGTTTTAACGTTTATTCACATATTCAAACATTTTGCAACCTACTGAATTTTAGAATATTTATTTGGCATAAAAATTACATATTGATTGCTAATAATTGTTTCTACGAATACTGCTGATTAGAGCCGTCACTTTTGCTACTGCTTCCGAACTGAACTAAACGAATTTTGTCGAAAATGTTGTCTATCCCTGTTGTTAGACAAGGACAGATGATTAATTGCAGAATATAACGTGCTCGTTTTAAAAGAAAATGCTACCACGCTGTATCGAATATTGTCGAGTATACTTAAATGCAGTGTTGCCAACTTCCAATTTTCAAAAAGGACCAAAAACTTGGAAAAAAGCATTTTATCACATTAAAGCACAACATTTTTTTGAATCAAAGGAAGCATTTTTAATAACAGTTTGTTTTAAAAAGAGCAAAAGATTACCAATATTTACAAGAATACATACATAAATCAATACACAAAACCTTTTCGCTCATAACGATTGAATAACCTCTACAAATGCTATGATGAGTCAGGCTTACGACGTAATACCAAAGTACTGCACATTAAAACTGGCACATATCGAGAAAGAAAAATCGAATCGCAACAAACGAAAATGATGCCACAAGAAGAATTAAGCAATCGGTTATTTTTATTCGGTTAACGATTTAATTGTATCGAAATTTTCCTTTCGATTAATCGAGCCATCATCAAAAACTGACTATTTTACTGACACAATAATGTGTGAATCAAATTACCGTAACAAAATTAATCGGTTAATTTCTTACGATTAATTGCATTTATTACTCGAATACTTTCGATTAATCAATTAATTTAATAAATTTGTTTACCATAACTAAGCGTATAAGCATTTTCAACGCAAATAGGATTCCACAAGGTGGGTTTGCAACTTCAGTTTTTTATCAATCATGGTTGTATTTTAGTGCATTTAAATTTGTAAATTCTTGTAAATTCAGTGTTGCCACGGCTTTAAATATTTCAAATCAGGTTTTAACTATCTCGGAGTAATTTTAGTTCAGAAAAAAAGCACTAAAAAGNAAGTTTGCGAAAGCGGGTTCGTCAGCTGAGCGTTTGTTTACATCACAAGCACCACTATTTTACACTTTTATTCAAGTAAAGAAGAGTTAATTCAACATGACAACACATTTTAAAGCATTTTGTTGCATCATTTTACCTAAATTGTGCGTTTAAAGTGGCTGACAATAATTTTGGCTAATTTTGGTTTTCGTTGTTTTCTTTGCTTTGTTTACTTTTCGCTCGTTTTCCAGTGAAACAAGATGGCGTAGAACCCGCTAAAAAAATCGACTGTTTTCACTCTCTTGTTCTTATGTGATCTTGTGTCGTGTCGTTCATGCGGAATACCACATATTTATGTATGTATTTTATGTTCTTAAAATTTCTGAAAATACAGCGTTTTGGTCGGTAACAAAAAATCAATAAAAGTAGAATTAAATTTCACCAAAATTACAAAAAAAGATAGGTGAGCCTAACNATATTTATGTATGTATTTTATGTTCTTAAAATTTCTGAAAATACAGCGTTAGCGTTTTGGTCGGTAACAAAAAATCAATAAAAGTAGAATTAAATTTCACCAAAATTACAAAAAAAGATAGGTGAGCCTAATATTTATTTATTTATTTTTACTATAGCTCATAAAGTAATATATAAACTATTAAAAAAGGGAATCTGTAGCTCGTTTCTGTAACAATTCTCTACCAAGGCGAATTGAGATATGAATTCGCCGCCCTGTTCTCTACTGCTAATGAGTAGTAGAGAATGACGTATATTCCAAGGCGAATTTATATAAGGTGCACCTTGGTGTTACTAGATCAGCTGATTTTGTGTATGTGTTTCGCCTCACGGCTTCTTATGTCAAATTGAAATTTTTTTTTTTGAATTTCCACACACACTCTTACAGATTTTGACAGTTTATGCCGCCAAAGCAAAAACAAAATACATGTAAGTTTTTGTTATTGTACTCCTGCTATAACCTTATACAAATTCGCCTTGGTATATTCTCTACTAGTAGAGAAATAATCGGTAGAGAAAAGTTACAGAAACGAGCTACTGGTGACTAAGACCATTTGGTTCTCTATCTTAAACTACTTTCGCGTTGCAACTCGATTTGATGTCGTCCTAAATACTTTATAGTCTTTCTTGTGTTAGGCTTCGTGGAGAAGGTTGTGGATTTTAAATGCACCATTAAAATCTTAATGGTATCAAGATTATGATAGTTGAGAGCGGTGTCTATATCTGTCGCTATCGTAGATGAGACTAAAAGATTTTGTTATTGCGTTTAGTTCAAACTTTGTAACATAAAAATCAACGTACATATTGTTTTGATGATCTAAAACAGGGATCACACGATTTGTACATTTATACATTTGGCTGTCACAGAGTGGTGTTGTCTAGAAATTTTTATCGAGAATGAGTTCAGCTCTACAGTAACTTTCCAAACAACACCAGTCTGTAACGGTAAAAACGAAAAAAACTGTGCGAATGTACAAATCGTGTGATCTCTGCTAAAAACGGTCAGTAATGTTTCGAGATCGAAGCCGATGAGCCTCGCTACACTAGTATTTTTAGACCGTCTGCAACCGGTGTTTTATGGGCCTAAAGGGGAGGAGAGTAGTAATTTTCGTCAGCAATTTCAGGCGCCGGAAATGCGGTATGACTTCGGTCGGAAACACGCGCATAAAAGAATCTCTTACTAACACAACTATACACCGTATATGGAAACAAGTACATAACCAGTTTGAGACGGTCTGAAACGACGAGTGCATTTTCGCGTGTCTTCTAAAAAGTCTTGTGTGCCGAGGCTCGATACGAATTTTTTTATATTTATAGTATTTGGTTTTTTCCCCAGTTTTGCGCTACCTTCTCAGACTCCTCTAGTTACCTCATTTCTTCTTTCTTTCAACAACTTTAGCCCTGACGTAGTTCTGGATCGAGAGTGGTTTCTTTATCTTTATATATTTATTTTATAAGTTTTAATTTCAGCCTACAATGCCCACCCATTCCCATACTAAATACATGTGATTTGATCTAACACGAAGATTTGGTTTTTAGGGCAGCCTGACTGTCGCCGCAGATGACAATGTGCCGTCTACTTAGATGATTCTGCAGGATTACTTCCGCACAAACACTGATGGTATAAACCTCCGCTTGCAAGATGCTTGACTAATTCCCCTTCTGCCTTCGCCAGTTTTTTAGCCATCTGTGATCTACCTTTATGTTAGTAACCGAAAATCGTTATCTATAATTGCCTTATTACATGGCGTTTTTCTGCCTGGTTCAGTCTTGAACCTTCTCTCAAAGGTCGTTATCATTAACTTGTCACCTCTATTGAGCTAGGAGACTTGATTCTGATTTCGAAATCGGGCAAAGCACAGAATGCATCGTGGTCCGCTCGTAGATAATCGAATTCAGGCAAACAATAGGCCGTAACTGCAGTCCTTGAGTGAACCAGGCTAGAAAAACTGAGAGCAAATGAAAGTACATATGTATCTAATTTCAAAAGTTTTTCCTCTAGAAAGGTTAGGGTAGGTTAATCTGGCCGGCGTTGAGCCGTACATAGATCTGCAGGTCAATAACGTTTTCAGTTGGAGCTCGTTTTTTTGCGTCAAAGTAGACATTTCAGTGTGTGGAGTGGTCTACGAATGTAGTAGAAGTGGTCTTGTCAGTGTCATCTGCTATTTATTTACCCTCTACTCCTTTGTGGTCGGGCACCCAATAGATAATCAATGTTCTGTCTGCGGTCAGCCAGTCAATGGCTTCCCGGCTTCGAAGGACGTTTTTGGATGAAATACTATTTATATGAGGTAACTGCCCTAATTTCCGCCTGACTATGTACGTATGTACATATATGTTTACTTTTTAGTTGATTGTCGTTTCGGTATAGGCTAGATCTGCTGCTTTCCTCATTGCGAAAACCTCAGCTTGAAATATGCTGCAATGGTTAGGTAGGCACCCTGAAATTGTGCATATGGAAACTGTGCATACGAAATAATGCATATGAAAAAAACCGAAATAATGCATACGAAAAAAACCGAAATAATGCATATATGCACAGTTTCGGTTGAAAACCGATATGCATTATTTCGGTTTTAAACCGAAACTGTGCATGTATGCATTACTTCGTTTTTTTCCATATGCATTATTTCGCTTTTAAAACGAAAGTATGCATATGCATAATTTCGGTATTTTCTCATATGCATTATTTCGGTTTTCAACCGAACCTGTGCATTTATGCATTACTTCGGGTTTTTCATATGCATTATTTCGGTTTTCAACTGAAACTGTGCATGCATACATTATTTCGGTTTTTGTTATATGCATTATTTCGGTTTTCAACCGAAACTGTGCATGTATGCATACCTTCGTCTTTCACATATGCATTATTTCGGTTTTCATCCGAAACTGTGCATGTATGCTTTATTTCGGTTTTTGCGATATGCTTTATTTCGGTTTTTGTTATATGCATTATTTCGGTTTTCTAACGAAAGTGTGCATATGGATAATTTCGTTTTTTCTAATATGAATTATTTACTTCTACTTAGTAAGGGTTTTAATCCTTCTGCGCAAAAATACTTCCGCCCTTCTTTTCCGGCAACACAGAAAGGAGAATTCTACTTAGTAAGGGTTATAATCCCTAAGCGCGGCCGAAGGCCGCCTACGCAGAGAGAAGTTCTGCGCAAAAATACTTCCGCCCTTCTTTTCCGGCAACACAGAAAGGAGAATTCTACTTAGTAAGGGTTATAATCCCTAAGTGTAGTAAGGGTTATAATCCCTAAGCGCGGCGAAGGCCGCCTACGCAGAAAGAAGTTCTGCGCAAAAATCTTCCGGTCCCCTTTTCCGGCAACACAGAAAGGAGAATTCTACTTAGTAAGGATTATAGATCCCTAAGCGCGGCCGAAGGCCGCCTACTCAGAAAGAAGTTCGTTTTCATGTATGCACTATTTCGGTTTTTTCATATGCATTACTTCGGTTTTGAGTCGAAACTGTGCATGTATGCATTACTTCGTTTTTCTCATATGCGTTATTTCGGTTTTCAAACGAAACTGTGC